TTCATAAAAGAGAATAGTCAAGCTTGCCTTACCTTCATCCATCAGCTTGCAGTTAGGACACTGTATAGTCCACAGAAGTTCTTTGGAGTTTGCAATAAAGTAATATAATTGTTAGAATCAAGGGTACAGTACTGCTAATCTTGGCTTCCTTCTGTACCCAGTTTTGTTACCTCCTTGGCTGTGTGAACTCTGGACATGTATCGTAATTTTGCTATGACTCCAGTTACAAGTTATTACTCCAGCTCCCTGGACAATAATAAGCATGGAAATATGAGCCTTATGTATTAGTCTGAATGGGCTGGGTTTAATAGTTCTTGGATGACAAATAATTATGGGGAATGAAAAGCTATTGCCTGACTAATGTGAACAAGGAAGCCGTTAATCTTTAGCAGTTATATATCTGAATTTCTAATTACACACCTCTGGCACAGCACATGCCATTGCTCATGATCTGCACATATAACTTCATGATAATCTCCTACCATTTCTAGTACTAAGAACTGAATTAGTAGAGGTGGGAAAGACATCAGGAGAGATGCTAACAGTAATGGCTGAACCATTCTCAGGGCTATATTCTTATTCAGTTGTTGGGAAGGCTGCAAACCGTTCCACTCTGGCCTTTTCATGAGAGTGGGACTTTGTGAAAAAGGCAGATATTCTGTCCCTGGGCTATTTCAGTACTCAAGAAATGGCTTGCCATGAAGGCTTTTCTGACTCCATCAAGGTCTAGTTGGGCCATGTGCCTGTGGAAGATCATAGTTAGGGTATGATGGACATGGCCATCCCCTGTACACTGCACTGATATTTGCAGTGAATTCTCAACAATTCAATCAAGATTTCTTTGAAGGTTAATCATAGTCAATTGTTCCCTACTTCTGATTATGCAGTTATGAATGCAGAGCAGGGGTACCAAGGGCCATTGGTTGCCCATTGAGATTAACAATCTCCAGGTGGGGCCTGGAATCACACCTGATTTTAGAGTTGCCAGCCTTTCAGTGGCAACCCACAGGAGGAAACGGCAGGGACCAGGGGGAATAATGTCATGCCAGTGCCATGATGACACTTTTGGTGAATATCTGGAAGTCATGTCCCATCACTGGCATGATGTCAATGTAACATTCTAGGATTCAGGTAAAATATAGTATGCGTTGCATTGGTGTCACACTGGCAATGTGATGTCATTTCTGGGTATTTGTTGGAAGTGACAGTGCGATGCTGCTTTTTAAAACACCCGCCTCCTGTAGACCCTCAGTAGGCCTACGGGCAATGGAGATGGAGGCTGGTCTTCCTACCTGATGTCCACACTCGAGAATTTGCCTGGTGGAGGCAGGAGACGTAAATTTTTATTTTGGTGGAAGTGACCTCACAGGAAAGGGAGGATTTCCCTCCCCAAACTCTTCACTTCCCAGTCATTACCAATGTTCCCTCTAAGCTGTGGAGTCTTGTGAGCAAAAATTCTACTTGGTGAGCTACTGGTATTAAAGCTGTGAGCTAGCGATTTGGCTGCTGTATCAATTAGTTTGCTCTGGAGCCCTCCTTCCTGAGCTAAGACAAAAATGTGTGAGCCGGAGGCTAAAAAACTGTGAGCTAGCTCACACTGACTCAGCTTAGAGGGAACACTGGTCATTACCCACAAATATCTAGGAATTTCCAAAAATGCTGTTGGCAACCCTATTGCCCATCCAAAAAATATTTCTTGCTATACTTCTTGCTTACCCCACACATCTGAACAGAAAAGTAGCAAAGGTTGATGAATCACAGAATATTTTTTAAACAATTACAATATACTGATGTGTGACAAAAACTTAAAGGCCTGTAGATAGTTTCAAGTTTTTCTTAATAATACCAATCCCCCTCCTCTTTTTTCACCAAACTTTCAATCCAGCAAACAGGATCCAGTGGTGGATAATAAGGAGGGATGCAGCTTTCCAGCCAGCAAACTTAAGGCCTGGTCCCTTCAGTAGCAAAAAAACAAAAAACCCCACCCTCTAAGAACAGCCAACCACTGTCATTCTAGTAATGATCTCTGCCACCCCTTTATAAATCCATAAGAGGAAACATCCTCTTGTGTCTTAAAAAAATTCTGCATTTGGTATAGTGGTTAAGAGTGGCAGACTCTAATCTGGAGAACCAGGTTTGATTCCCCATTCCTCCCACATGCACCCAGCTGGGTGTCCTTGGGCCAGTCACAGTTCTCCCAAGAGATGTTCTCTCAGAGCTCTCTCAGACCCACCTACCTCACAGGGTGTCTGTTGTGGGGAGAGGAAGGGATTGTAAACCACTCTGAGTGAGGGGCAGGGTATAAATCCTCCTCCTCCTCCTCTAGGTTTCCTTTTACACCTTTGTCATATGACAATACCAGTGTCTGGCTAGTTTCCTGAACCTCACATAGTTAAAAGAAATTCTGTTTTCTTTGGTACTTTTGTCAGTTTACGTATGGTTTGCCAGGGTTAGTTCTCTTTTTTATTTTCCTCATTGGGCAAGACATGCACTTTTCCAAAGGAAACTTTTTTGCTTTCTGTAGCTTTCTTGAGTGCTATTTTTAACCGTTCTGTCATCCTTGGGGGTTTGCGTGTCTCTTACGTAGTCTACATTTTAAAGCCTCTGTTAAAAATACAGCTTCAAAGATCAAATCCACATTCTCCCTTGAAGATCATTGAGTGACCTTGGGCTAATCGGTATTTCTCTGCAAATTTGTTGTGAGGATATATTGTATATGAGGAAACCATGTAAACTGCTTTGAGCTACTTGTAAGAACACCAGAATTTTGAAATGTAAAAACAACAACAAAACCCTAGATTTTACTTTCATAACTACACTCCTTAGTTCTCTTGTAAGTAATTTGTAAGTTCTCTTGTAAGTAATTTTTGAACTCCTCTTCAAAAAATAAATTTGAACCTGTTGCTTTTTCCAGGAAATTCTTTGGATTTCATAAAATATGTTGGATTTCGTAAAATGATGTTCACTATTCCCAAGAAACTTGATAAGACATGTCTTGTATCAACCCACAGGTTCTTCCTTAAGATTAAATCATACTTCCAAGGGAGGAAAGGTCTGGCAGCTGCATGGTTTTCAGGGCTGCTGCCACTGTTCCACGTAGTCCTGTTTTTCACTGTCAGCCATGCCCATCAAAACCAGCCTGAAACTGGAGCCTGCACTGAAATTGGTTTGTTTTCCTTCATTTATCTGCTTCATGTAAACCCTGCCTTTCTCCCCAAGGGGGGCCTGAAGTGGCTTACATCATTGCCCTCTCCTCCATTTGATCCTCTCAACAACCCTGTGAGGCAGGCTGGGCTGACAGTGTATGAGTGACCCAAGGTCACCCAGACAGCTTACATGACAAAGTGGGGACTTGAACCTGGATCTCCCAGATCCTGGCATGATACTCTAGCAATGGGGCTTCCACATGCAGGTTTTCTCATAGGCCCTGTCCACATGAGGGGTTTTGGGCCGGGAGTGGGCCGGATCGGGGCCGGAGCAAACGGGCGCGATCCCACTGCAACATCTGGGCAGCGTTGCGCACCTGTCCCCGATCCGGCCCTTCCCCCGATGAAACACATCAAAAATGAACCACCTACCGAGGTGGTTCATCCACACCGGCCGTATCAACGCCGGCCGTGGGATCGCTGGCCCGTCTTTCTGCCGGCGCATCCCCGGCTCCTGCCTGAACTGCGCATGCTCAGACATGCGCAGTTCGGCAGTCTCCCGTTCCCCTCCGTCGCTTCCCCCGGCATCTGATCGTGCCGGGGAGGGAATGCGCTGCGGCTCAGGGGATCAATGTGATCCCGCTGCGACGGGTTTTTTTGGTGCGGCTTTCAGAAGCCGCGCTTCAGCCTGTCCCTTTCCGCCCCGTGTGGCAGGGGCCATAGTTTCCCTATCCCCAATCCACTGGCAGTGCCCCCACCAGCTTTCCAGATTTTTTAAAAATCAGCAATTGAGTATTATAATAACATAATTTGTGTGCCAAGTTATCTGAATTCCCAGCATTCTCTTTTTTAGAGTAAGCCTCCCGCCTATTTTGATGAAACTCTATACTGTTCCCCTTATATATCCACAATGAAAAGGGCAAATGCTTTTTTTTAAAAAAAAATAATTGAAGGTGGGAATTTAGAGAAATTGTACACAGATTGTAACAATATAACATTCATTCAATTTCCAATTTCATAGCCCCCAGTGGCAAGGGGAGGAAAGGAGGAAAGGGATAGGGAAACTGGATGCTGTGACAGTGGTTATTAAGAGTGATTCTACAAGTGAGAGACAAGAACCGGAAAAATCTGTCAGGACTGTTCAGATATATGTTTCTGAGTCATGCCCAGTGAAAACGGAAGGAACGAATTCATACCAGTTCTCTGAGCTGAGCTTCCAGGTTGTAGATTCTAACCCCTGTTTCCTTTAGGCCTCCAATGCTCTTAGAAGAAAAGGGTCCTTCTATTATTTC